AGCAATGGTGCCAGTATACTTTGCCTTTCAAATATTCAGGTAGTTGCAGTTTGGAGTCCTTTAAAAAAATTGAGTGAAATACTAGCTGTGAGGTACAAATGTGGTACGTCTCTGCTTTCACTCACCTCCTCCACTGGCAGTAACAAAGCACAGATTTGCACTCAGATTATCGCCTCTGGTTGACTACCGATTAACTTTCTCAACAGACAGAAAACGCCGATGATCTGGCTGTCAAATGGCCAGATCTCAGTGTCAAAAAGAAGAAAACAGCATCTGCCTTTCAAATACCACACCTTCCAATGCAATCCTGGGTAAAGCAGCTACAGATCTTATGGTCACTTTGTAACATTTTTAGTATTGTGGTTATGAGGTGGGAAATAGTTTCTAAAGTTTAGAGGTAGAACCACCAGCTTGAATAATAAAAAAGGACCACACAACCAAAAGCCAGGATGACTTTGTGGCATACATACAGCGTTTTGCACAGCTGTCAGCCAAGAGCTCCTCAGATGCCAAGGTCTGATATGGGGCCATTTTCTAGTCTACTCGTGCGTTTTCATAATTCAAACTAAAGTGCCATTAGAGGGCAAATGAGGTATTACTCACTAAGGCATTCAAAAGTAACTAATTAAGTAATTGAACTTACAGTTCAATTTTTACAGTAAACTGTAAGCAAACTGGCATCAGCTTGCTTTATATTCTTTATTTAGCTTTTCAAATAACCCAAATTACTAGAGTTTCTCCTATCTCTGAGAAAATACATCCTTTAAAATTGTTCCTGTTTCCCAGTGGTCTAGACACAGGGCTTTCTTTAAAACTCAGGTTACTCTTACCTCTAAGTGCAGGATACTAACAGCTGCTCCATTGAGTTCATACCTGGTACTGGTACAGTAGTAAGCAAATGTTCTACACAAAGGCTCTACTGAAAGTCTTGGGTTTCAAAAGCCTGTCTGTGGTTCAGCAATATACTATTTTTGGTCATATCAAAACCGGAGTTGCACAAAAGCACTAATCTGATACAAATTCACCCAGAAATCTATTACTAGCAGGGCTTTTTATTCCAGAGCAGGTATCAGCTGTCCATGGCACCTTCTTTCTCACAGATCAACTACCTTTTGTTCGACTGCAGATGATATGAAGCCCGAATAGCAGCCAGTGTAAACCCTTTATCATGCTTTCTTCCTAATTTTCGTCCAGGCCTAATCTGGGTCACATCTGTTAGAAGCATGCATGTACAGGTGCAGTATTACTGCCTGTGATACCAGGGTCCAGATGCATTGGTTTAAAAATATTTGTAAGTACCATTATGTCTGACTAGCAAAACTGAGCTTAGATTCATATTTATTTCTGAGAACTTCATTTTTATTGTATTATGAGTTGTAGAGGTATTTTTCTATCTATCAGCTGGGTATGAAACATTACCCAGTAGAAGCTGATTGTTAAAGCGTCCACTTTTCCTCCTCCTCCTGTCCCTCACCCTTGGTTGTCTTTTTAACATAAGCAGTTGCTTTGAATCTTCCAGGATCCTCAAGTAAATTTTCATCTGTTAAAATCAAACGTAAATGTCGGTTCATTTTGGGTTTTTTTGAGTACTGTGCCAAAACGTATAAAGTCCTTCACAAAGTATGAAGCTTGATGGGGTCTTAAAGAAATGTTTAAGTGGAAATCTTAATGAGCAGGCAGAGATTATGATATTGCTGAATGCTGTATCTGGAGTGAAATGATTCAGCACAGATTCAGGAAAATTTTAATGAAAATTAATTGGAAATACCAAAAAGTGTTCATAGAAAAATGTTAACGTGGCAAGATAATATTTTAAAATCATCTGTGTTATCTCATTAAATGATACTGAACAAAAATGTTTGAAAATGTTGAATTCTAAGTAACATTGGATTGGAAAATTTTTGGTTAACACAGAAGAACGTGTTATATATAGGTATGCAACCTGACAGGTAACTGCTTCCACAGGAATGTTTGGAATCAGCTGAATATTCATTTCTCACTACCAAGCTTTTCAATGGATTACTCCATCCTTGGGTTTGAATTAAATATACAATGTGTTTTCAATTACTCAACTACAGTCCAGTTTCTAACACAGAGCATATGCCCTGGCAAGATATTTTTGTCTTTCTCAGGCATGTGTTAGTTGGGAGAACTGGTCTCATTAATTTTCTGTAAAAATACTCCTGTCAAAAAGGTTTCTAAAATGCTGTTATTGTCACTGGAGAGTTTTACACAAATCCTTGTAAATGAAAGTTTATGACTATTTTTATAATAAGGTTTAAAACCATCATGATTTTTTAAAAATATTTCAGGGTTTTTTTTCTTTACTTTTCTGTTGCCTAATACATACAATTTGGTTTTTGGAATCCACCACTGCTCCCTGAAGGATTGAAGGGATGCTGGAAGACACTGACTCAAGAAACCTGCTTTGGACTCTGTTCATCCTCTTACATAAGAAGGAGAGAGACTTGAAACCTTAATCCAGTCTTAGTGGCTGGTCTCTATAATAAACCAGTCCACATCTGGGATTTAAGGAGCCATGTGATTTTTGAGAAAGTCCATAAGGAAAACAGTACTTTATGGTTAATGTACTGATGGAACAAGACGTTTTGCTCCCTGATTGCGTTTTCTCTTCACTGCATGCTACTAATTGTTTTAAGGACCAAAATTATATTCTTAAGTAAGCTTTTTTCCCTCTCTTGCCTCTGCACATACCTGCCCTAGCTTTATCTCAGTCTCAGACACTTGCCCTCTGTTTTGGATGGAGGAGTGGAAGAGGACTTATTTAACCTGTCATAAACTTCTTTCCTCTTCATTCCTCTTAAAGTCCCTGTTGCCTTTACCATTTCACTGGCTTCAGTTCTTCTTGTCATCTTGACTATTGTTTTGCTTTCCGTCTTTTATATCAACAAAAATCCACTTTCTTCTTCTACTGTGTTTAATGCAAGTTTTCTTCTCTTAACTACTTTCTTCTGAGGGGCAACCTGTGTCTAGGAAACTTGCTACTTAATAGCCAACTTTTGTCCTTGCTCTGGAAGCTGCTGTAGACTAGACCTAATATGCTGGGTACTAAAACAGCACGTTCACAACCACTGCTTCCTAGTCATCCCTTCTCTTTCAGACCAGAGCAACACAGAAAGACAATACTTTTGAATTAAAAAGGGGACTTGATCAGAGGCTGTATAGTAAATGGTTCACTGCTGGTGCAAGGCACAGCTACTGATCTTTCTAATTAGTGTCTTCAGTCCTGTAAACAGGGTAGCATTGGCTGGGAGACCAGGAGTGTCTCTGGGGAAGCAGAATAGGTCTGAGTTGCATCTTGTCTCTGATTACATCTTCTGTCGTTTTGGGAATAAGAGAATCAAAGTGATTAGTCTTTAGCCTTTTGAAACCATACCTCCACACCCCTTATCTTGATGAGCAAGAGTACAGGGTAATTCTTTGTCTCACAGATTTCTGCCTGGTGCTGATGCCCACTGTTGGCCATGACTGGTAGCAGTGGTAGCTCTCGTTCTCAGAGATCGCCAAAAGTCCCTCATTCCTGCCAGTGACGTCTGGGCATTGCCTTTGTGCCAGTATCACCAGAACAAACCTTTGGCTGCTGCCAAGAGATGTCTCAGAACTGACATATAATACGCAAGTTCTCACACATAATACAGCAGTTCAGCAGCCATAGAGATGCCTGTTTATCTCTTTAGCCTCTTCCAGAAAGTAGTTTGTGCCAGTATTGTCAGCCTCAAAGGCAGCTGTATCAATGGCTTATTGCAATATATTTAAACAATGACATTTCTCGAGGAGCTAGCTGTCCAAGAAAATAAGGAGCCATCATAAAGCCTTAGTTACTTTGCATCTGTTATGTTAAAGTACTTGAGGCTGAACTCTATTGAAGTTATACAGGTAAAAGCTAAAAAAATGTTGCGTTGGGTTTTTTTTGAAAGGCAGAGATCTCAGGCTGGAATGTTGTCTTTCTGCTATGATACTATTTCTGTGGAATAAACTGCTACTAGGCTCTTGAAAGGAATATGAGCTGTCTAGTGAGCTCAGAAGTAACACTTTTAGAAAAAAAATCTCACTGAAGTGCCAGTGTAGTGCTACTTAAGCTAGTACATTCCTACACATGTAGAAATAGTGATGCCAATGTGTGAATTGCCATTTTAAAATAAGTTTTGCTTTTTAAAGCATTACAGACATGGTACAGTTTTGTATTATGCCACTAGGAGCTTATACGTTTCTGCCATCTTTCATGAGCAGTCATGCAATGTACTCTGGGCACCTATTGCTTTTTCCTTAAGCTCACTGTTTCATACTTTTCTCAACTGGGGCCTTGCACTGTAATTATTTTTTTTCTATTCATTTGCAAGCCGGAATAAACTTTTTAAAATTACTTCCTTTCATATCTCCTATTCCATATGGTGGTACTTGTTCTATCCAGTGGAAATTTGTGGGAGAGCCTCAGGAGAGGGTTATTTCATTTTTAAAAGGACTCCCAAGCTCTGATCCCCAACTTCAAAGGCATTTGGGGCTACAATATCTAAAGGGAAAAGTCTGACAACACCTGATACAATATAATTCTTGTTTTGACTGCTTTTGCTTTGTTCCACTGAGTTTATTCCCCTTGAAATTTGTGGTCAGACTGAAGCACTAGCAGAGCAATTATCACCTTTAATTGTATGTTTCTAAAGCTTCTAGCACTGCAAGACTGAGACGAGGGGCAGACCTTAGGTGGTAGCACAGTACGATGATTAAATTAATGTCATTTCTTTTCAAGCAGTAGCCATTTACTGTTGGTATGTCTAGATGCAGTGATCCTCCTGTATGGATTGTAAGCCAGGCTAGCTTGTGCAGTCATCACTTCCTCACAGGAGCACTTATACAAATAGACCAGTGGTTCTCCAGGATGAAGAAATGTGCTGTGCTCCACTGCTGGGTTGCTGGGGACCTGCCAACCACGAACTAATATGGACACTGTACTAATAAAAGTCTGTTTACTTTTTGTACAGGGATCAGCTGGCTTACCTGGAGAAGCTGGGCCATCTGGAAGCCTTGGCGAAAAGGTATAATAACGTAACTGACTACTCAGCAACAAAAATCAGCTTTGACGAACCATTGGGATGATAAAATATTGGTGAGAGATAGTTTACTGACCACTGACAAAGCTAATATTCATGTAGCTGTTTTAGAGCAGAGAGATGTAATAAATGGTAACCTTAATGCTGCTGTTTGAGCTATGCATCTGGTATCCTTCATTTTACTTGGCAATGAATTTAGAGCTGATACATTTGATATTTTGTTCATATTATGGCACTCATTTTACTATCCACTGCTATTAATTCACAGACACTGGAATAAATTATACTTGGTTTATACAGTAGTCACTGGTTTTGCGCTGCTATGTAATGAAAACACAAGTAGAAAGGTAGCACTTGTCTGTATGCATCAACTGAGTAAAGAAGACAACATCATTAGTTTTGTCTGCTGTGCAGTAACAGTTATGTTTATGAAAGCATAGTTTAACAGACTTAATGTGACTAGAACAGTATAAATAGCTTAAGCATATTTGACATGGTTTTATTTAGGTGAAGTGTTTTAAAACTGAAAAACAGGAAACTATTACTGGACTGCATGTCAGCTTCAATTATAATAAAAACATAATTGTTTGTTAGAATGATCCAGCACTGTTTCTATTTCTTCCCTGCAGGGCCGAGTTATTTCACCTAGACTGGTGGCTGCTATTTAGGTGTTTTATTGGCAAAGTCTTAATAATGTATTAGAACTTCCATGAAAATCTGATTATAATTTATATAATCTATGAAAGGAAATACATCAGTGGAAAGCACTGCTTGTTAAAACTAAAATTTAGACAAGTCTTATATGGCTTTAATGATAATATCGTCTTAGATTTTGGTGTCAAAGGATTCTTGTTCTTTATAATTACCCTTGGGCCAACAAAGATTACCTTGGGATACTGCTGTTAGTTTAGCAAGGAGGCAAAAGGCAGTAAAAGACTAATTAATCTATCAGCAAATGGAAGCAAGCTTCTTCGTGGCGCAGTAGTTGTTGTCATTACTATGTTGTTTCTGTAGAATTTATCTTCCTTTTTTGTGGATTAAACAGTACAATGTAAACATGCTATGTGAATTTAAATGACAAACATACTTCCAACATAATTATTTTAAAGAAACGTGTCTTTAACAGTATGCAACATAAAATATAGCATTATCACTATGTCATGTGTGCTATCTGCAATAAAAGTGTAATATTTGTATGGGGATAATCTACAGCCAAGCTTGATGCTTGGGCTGGATGTTAGGCAAATAAAAGGTGAGAAGGTATGTCAGACAAGGAGG